TGTGGCCAAAAGAGAGAGGAGATCATTTATGAACTATCAAGTGAGTGAATTTTTAAATTAGGAAAACATTGTAGTTTTTAAAAATGAATCTTAAAAGTACAGTATGTTGACACATTGCTGAAACTTACATCATACTCTGTTTTGTTTGGTTACAGAGAGTTATAATGGTTGTACATTTTCTAAACTCAGGATGACTGAAAAGCCTGAGGTGAACAACTACCTCGATGACTACACGGATCCTTTGACAGGAAAAACTTACAGAAAAGGAGACGACAAAGACATACTTGAGCGGATTATTGATACATTTCAGGAGCGCCGATGGTATGGCTTACTTCACAACAACTGTGAACACCTGGCTACTTATGTGCGTTATGGAGTGAAGGTAGCACTGCAGGTAAGTCGCTGTGATTTTTGTTGCCATCTCTTTTCTTCTCCAACACATCACTGATCATTTCTTATCACTGCCTTAGAGCTTTGTTGCAAAAGTTTTAAAATGACCCCAATTTCATTCTTTGCTTCCAAGGAGCCCACCTGGGAATCTTTTAAGTGGTCTTATCACTAGACTAAATTTTGGAAGCTGATGTTTTTCTTTAGACTTGGGCTGTTTTTTCATTCAATTTGTCTGGTTCTGGTCAATGACAACAAATTGGTGTGTTAAAAAGAAGGAAACTAGACAATGGAGGATAAATGTATTGGGTATAAATGTAACTAACTGTCTAGAGCAGATTTTAATTATTTTATTTTATTATGACCCTTTATTTAACAGGGCAAATCCCACTGAAATCACAGAACATTTTTGTAAGGGAGGCCTGAAGGCAGCCTAACATGTTTTTGAAGGAACCCTTTTGAAGGAAAAAGCATGGTATAAGAAATGAGATGCATCATCCTTCTATGTCAAACAGTTCTTTGGGAATCCCCTCATTGGTGCAAAAATACCACTTTACGTCTCTTTCTCTTTTTTGGATCCAACTAAATAGGAACACATTGTGTTACTATGAAGACTACTTGTAACAAAGTGCCTAACATCCAATTTAAAATTGTGAAACTTCCATTAGACAACATTGGTGCATCCTAAAAGCATTATGTCTGAATCATTTAAAGCAGGGCTATTCAACTGGCGGCTCGGGACACTTCCAGCCCACAGGCGACTTCAATCTGGCCCACTTTATTAAAAAAATAAAAAAAATTTTTTGGTTCTGGGTTGGACTTGTTTAATGCATTTATGATTCAATGCAATAAAATAAACACATTTAAAAGGTAACAGATCACTGTAAACTTTGGTTGATCATTTTTGGATGGATGTCCGGCCCCCGAGCTGTTGGCTTTCAGAAGCTGTGGCCCCCCGAGCAGTTTGGTTGAATAGCCCTGGTTTAAAGGTCAAATTAAGGTAGCCAAAACAAACAAACATATTAAAATGAAAATGGCCAAGTTATGGACTGAAAATGAATAAAGAAGCTAAATAATAAAGATGATGTTTTGGATATAAAAAAAAATGTGTAGAAAAAGTGATCACTTTAAAAGATTGTAAAAATATTTGGCATGTTGGGAAACGAGCTGAGGAACAACTCTAGACAGACAGTGAAGTTTTCTCTTCACAAAATAGACTGGACTGAACCAGGCTCATCGGTGGATGCACTGCAGTGTTGCATTCTTTGATTTAAACTTTTCAAGACAGTAACTGTTGTGTACATTATTTTCCCTGAAGCAGACCTCGTGAATTCTGACTTCTCACTCACACCAAACTGAAAGAGCTCACAGGATTACTCGTACACCGTCCGTAGGTTCTTATCTGTCAAAGCACAATGTATTTAACTCATTTTGTTTGAATTTTACAGCTCAACATGACTTGTGAAGGTTTCATATTTTGCAACGATAAGTTAGATGAGAGACATTTACTGGAGTACCTGAGGAATAAATCAAAATGTCCCTATAAAAATGAAGACTTCGTCAACATGTTCTGCTGAAGGAACATCAGCGACGTCAGCCTGTGGAAAGTTTTT